AATCAAATCATGATGGACACATTGAAGTGGAGAATCAAATCTTGAATGTAATAGTGGAAAGTGATTTGATACATTTGGAGTCAACTCACATTTATTGAATGCAACCAAGTCACATGCTCAAGATGGCTATGCTCAAGGAGAAAATCAAAAGATATGATTGACACCCTCACTTAATGATCATTGAAGTATATGGCATTTCGGTTCAAGGGAAATCAACTCAAGCGCTTCAAATTCTATTTTCGTTTGATCTCGAGTTAAATAGGTATGCCATACTATTAAGAGGGATGCATCATATTGATAGATATCTATTCATAAGTGCTCAAGTCAACTCATGTGAGATTTGAGTGAGAGAGAGCCAAGTGCTAACTCGCTGTGCTGTAGGCCCAAATACCGGACGTGTCTGGTATTGGCCTAGCTAAAGCATCCTCCCTGGTTTTCTCGAGTTGGTTCATCGGGAGTTCCAACATGAGTCGGGAGTTCTCGGGGTCAGGAGTTTCGGCAATCATCGGGAGTCTTGACGCCTCTCTACACCATTGACTTAGTGACTGTTGGTGCTATGAAGAAAATACCGGACGTGTCCGGTGTTCCCCAACGGTCACATAACGGCTAGTTTTTCAAAAGGGCTATAAATACCCCTTAGCCTCCATGTTTTTGAGCAATGAGAATACTTTCCAACCCTCTCTTAGTGAGTGATTGATTCAAACTTGCAAAATCCATCTTGTGGGTTGAGTGAGATTCAAATTGAGAGCAAGCCATTTTTGAGCACTTGTGCATAGTTGTCGATCTCATGATTTATATTTGTTACTCTTGGACTCTTCGATCCTAGACGGCTAGGCATCGCCAAAGAACACCCAAGAGCTTGTGGTGTGCCTCAAAAAGTTTGTAACGGTTCGATTCCACCGCCGCAAGGGAAGGAATCATCTAGTGGAAGGAGGAAAAGGAGTTGGAAAAGACTCAGGCTAGAGTGGCCTTCGTGGTCCTCTAGAGCTGACCTTTATTGGGTCACTCTCAGCCCCCTCAACGGAGAGTAGGTCTCGGTAGAGACCGAACTTTGGTAAAACAATTCTTGTGTCTCGATCTCTCTTTTCATTTGGCATTTGTGATCTACATGTGTTGCTTGAGCTCATTGACAGGTCACTAGTAGGTGCCACCAACGTGGTTTGAAAAGTGAGGGTCGATCCGAACTAATCGAGGACTGATCCAGCAACCCCGTGTATACTGGATGTGTCCGGTATTTGGAGCCTGTTGTTTCACTGCTCTAACTTTGTGTTGCAGGGTTGTAACTCCTAGATATATTTGTCTACTCAGTGGTTAAACTTGTGAGGGGTATTATTCTTTGATTTGGAGTTTTCACTTGATCAGAAACTCTAACACTAATCGTTTTCGCATTTTGAAGGGTTGAATTTTTAGAAACGTCTATTCACCCCCCTCTAGGTGGCATCCTCGGTCCTTTCAACGTGACTACATGATAGCTAAATAAATCTTCAAACTACAAGTTGTCGAGTTAACCATGCAACAAGTTGAATGTCCGATTGCAACTTATGGATATGTTTGTTAATAAAGAAATAAAAATAATTAGCAAGGATGTGCACCACTTCCTTGAGGGTTGGTTCGGTTCCTTTAGAATGATCCCCAGTTAAAATAGTTCACTAATTTGTATAATGTTGATAAGTCGGAATGGTTCCTACCTCAAACCCAGGCTAACCAAACAGACCCTCCTCAAGTAGCCTAGTGCCGTGGAAGAGTGAGCACTACCGTAAACAGTAGCTTTGTCGTATGCCATAGGCACACAGCAAAGCCCAAAAAACACTCGGCAAAGGATTTGTCGAGTGTAACACTCGGTAAATAGCACATGACATCTATAGTGTCGGCAAATGTCTCTTTGCCGAGTATTTTTTATCGGGCACTCGACAAATACTTTGCCAAGAGCTAAAACCGACGCTCGGCAAAAAAAATAACGTGATGGTGCAGAGACGGTCACGGTGCGTTTGCCGAGTGTCCGGGATTTGACACTTGGCAAAGCAGCCATGTTTGCCGAGTGCCTCGGCCCTGACACTCGGGCTGTCCAAAAAATATGGACAATTCGTAACAGATACGGTTATAGATATGCAAAGATCTGCATATTTCCAACCGTGTCTCTTTCGAATGAGAGACGCCTAGCTAGGTTACGTGATATACGAACATCCTATGTTTCACATCATACGGAAAGAGGGGTGTAGGATGCCTTAGCTTGCTGTCCTGCAAAGTGACAACTCGAGGACGGTGGGGAATGATAGCCTCTCCTGCAACAAAGGAACATAATAGTATCAATTGTAAATTTTGGCATCACCTCCCCTGCACGGTGAGGTAACCAAAACCTGCAACAAACTAACGGCACAATGGATGTCAACCACATACACAAATACTTTCACATGTATTCTAACAGACATTGTGAACATACACTTTGTTGTTCCTATGAATCACAATATAAAATATGGTACAAAGCATGGCTGGCTGAAAAATAGCAGCCCTAATAATACCACGGTACAAAGCAAATCATAGCTTCGATTTACATTTCCTGCAACCAATCCACAAAAATGAGACACGTCATATTATCAATGTAGTACTCACATGCATGTGCATCAGTAAACACTAATCTATTTCTAAACTAGAAATACTAATCAGCATTTTAGTAATATAATTTACTCAAATTTCAATTCCATGATTGCCAAGATATATACTCATAAGTCTTGGTAATTTAACAGTGATTGGAACTGATAAAAACATAATCAAGTAATTTGTAACTAGCTAGTAAAGTTCATATAATATATATATATACTAACATTGTGTTTTTTACCTTACCAAGTGATGAGATGGTGCCGGGAGGAGGGCGCCGGGTGCCGGCCATCGGGGGGTCAGGGGTGAAAGCTCTAGTTTGGTTTTGGTTAATTGATGAAACCCTAAGTGCTAACCTAGTTTATCAAAGTGATTATGAGATAGGTAGCACTATTCCAAGTGGTGAAGCAAATGTAGATCATGACATGATGATGGTGATTTGATGGTGATGATCAAGTGCTTGGACTTGGAAAAGGAGAAAGGAAAACAAAAGGCTCAAGACAAAGGTATAAGTGGTAGGAGCCTTTTCGTTTTGGCGATCAAGACACTTAGCGAGTGTGATCATATTTAGGTTCGATAGCCATACTATTAAGAGGGGTGAAACTCATATCGAAATGCGGTTATCAAAGTGCCACAAGATGCTCTAACTCATTGCATATGCATTTAGGATCTAGTGGAGTACTAACACCCTTCAAAATGTTTATGAAAATATGCTAACACACATGTACGAAGGTGATACACATTGTGTTTAGCACTTGGGAGCAAGGGTTTGAAACTCCACCGGCGGATAGTCCGTTGGTGCCCTGTACAGAAAAGACAGGATTTCACAGAGTGATCCGGATGCTGGTCACGCGGTGATCGGACGTTGGGGTCCTGTGTCCGGTCAGTGGCGCATAGTGAAGTCTGCCCTTGGTCTCTTGACTGGACGCTGAGTTCAAAAGTGACCGGACTCTGGCTGAACACTATTCAGTGTCCGGTCATGCTAATGTGGCGGCGCACAGAGATGAGGGAGAATGACCGGACGCTCAGTGAGTCCTGTCGGGCGTGACCGGACACGTCCCGTCACGAGTGGAACCTTACTGGAAATGATCGAACGCTAGGGTCCTACGTCCGGTCACTTTGAGCAATGCGTCCGATCATAACTTAAATGTACTGATGACCGTTGAGATCGGGCGATCAGCGTTTGAAGCAGAGGCCACATGGCGTGCATCGCACGACCGGACGTTGGGGTTCTATGTTCGGTCGCCCTGACTTTTCAGAGAACAGAGAGCCAACGGCTCTATTTCGTGGAGACTTCTATTTAAGCCCCATGGCCGGCTTAAGCTCACCCTCTTAGCCATTTGCATTGACATAGCAACCTTGTGAGATTGGCCAAAGCCTTCCCACTCATCTTTATCATTGATTCATCATCTTTGTGAGATTGGGAGAGAATCCAAGTGCATTGCTTGAGTGATTGCATCTAGAGGCACTTGGTGTTTGTGTTTCACTGCCGGATTCGCTTGTTGCTCTTGATGGTTGCCACCACCTAGATGGCTTGGAGCAGCAGGAGGAGGATTGGCATGAGTTGGTGATTGTTCGTGGCTATCTCCGGTGATTGTGAGGGGACTTGTGCCTTCCGCGGTAGAGCGCCGAAAGGTAACCCTAGTGGACTGCTCGTGTCATCGAGTTACCTCACTTGTGGGTAGGTTCTTGTGGTGTCCAATTGTGTGGACGAGGTTCGTGCAACACCTCTTAGCCACCGAACCACCAAGTGTTGGTCGACACAACGGGGACGTAGCATGTTGTCAAGCACTTGAACCTCAGGAGAAAATTGGTTGTCTCTTGCCCTTTGGTATTCTCCTGGTGATTGATTTAGTGTTCATCTTGTGATTGGTTCACTCCTCTTCATGGCAGTATAATCACCCTACTCACTCATTTATATTCTCGTAAACTAGTTGTAGCAAGCTCTTTTGTGTAATTAGAATTAAGAGCTTGCTTTGTAGTTTAAGTTCATCTAGTGGAGCTCATTAGTGTAGCAAGTGTGAGAGCTCTTAGTGAGTAGTGCATTAGTAAATTATGTGTCTAGTGATCATAGTAACTAGAATTATTTGATAGGTGGCTTGCAACCCTTGTAGAGCTAGAGCAAATTTACATTTCGCTATTTGTTATACTAATCAAATTGCTCTAGTTGATTTATAGATTTTTAAATAGGCTATTCACCCTCGCTCTAGCCATATTAGGACCTTTCAGGGGACCGGCGAGGGGATCGGCACAGGGAGCCTCCAGCGGGTGCCGGCGGTGGGCGCGGAGTAGGCGGTGCTGGCGCACGAGCGGGGCCGGCGGCGGGCGCGGAGCAGACGGCGGGGTGCGGGCTCGGGGCACGTGACGGGCGCGAAGAAGGCGGCGCTGGCGCGTGAGCGGGGCCAATGGCGGGCGCGGGGCAGGTGGCCGGGTGCGGGTGGCTATGTGTGTGCATGTGTGTGTGCGTGCGGCCAGCCCGGGTGGGATGGATATGAGGGTGGTTTGCTGAGTGCCCCTGATCTGACACTCGGCAAACCCCAGCTTTGCCGAGTGCCAGATCAGGGGCACTCGGCAATCCCATTTTTTTCATTTTCACACTTTGCGTTTGTGTGGCCGGTGGGGGGGTTTGCCGAGTGTTCCAGAACTAACACTCGGCAAACCCCGGTTTGCCGAGTGCCAGATTGGGAGCAGTCGGCAAACCTAGTTTTTTTTTATTTTCCATCTTTTCCTTCTTTTTGATATATAACATATTTTTCTAAATTTGTTCCGATGTACTATGAAAATACCTTGTCAAATTCACTAAACAATATATATTTAATTTTTCTACAAATATTATTCCATTATTTCATGCGATTATAACTCAAATTCAATTTATATCAATTAAAATTCTATTATTACACTGAATAAATTAAAATTATCAAACGGATTTAAAAAATTACCAAAATTTCACATGAAACAATCTATGTTTTTTATTGCCTATACAAAAAGTTTTGAAGCCAAACCCTAATTTGACCATCACTTTAACTCCAAATCTTACCAAATCCTTCTCAACGCTATGATTCTTCTCCTGAGATGCTTCGGTTTGTAAACATCTTGACAAATCTCTTGATTTTTAGACTTCGTTTGTTTTTTTTAAATTTAAAAACCATTCGGTCCACACGTTCGTCGTCGTGTTTCCTGAACAAGATGTTCGAAATTTCTTTTTATTTCCTGGGTAAGGCCTCACACTGGACTCAATAACATGAATATCATTTTTCTACTCATTTTATTCTATTATTTAAACCACTTGCGGTTCAAATTTGATTTATACCAAAAAAATTTCTTGAAATACAATAAATTAATTAAATATAGCAAACAGATCCAGAAATATACCAAATCTTAACATAGAGTACCATATGTTGTATGTAGAGAGTAGAAAAAGTTTTAAGGTCAAAAGAGAAAAAAAAATTATTTATTTGCGAGTGTAAAAAAACACTCGTCAAACTTATTTCTTTACCGAGTGCTGAAAAAAAAAACACTCGGCGAACTTATTTCTTTGTCAAATGTCATTAACGGACACTCGGCAAACTCCTAATGACCGGCACACTAACTAACGGATGTCCACGTGGTGATTTTTTTGCCTAGTGTCTCTGTTTTACCGAGTGTTTTTTCTTAGTTTGCCGAGTGTTTTTTTCAGCACGACAAAGAGTTTGTTTGTCTAGTGCCATTATTTTACCGAGTGTGTTTTGTGCAGCACTCGACAAAGAGCTTATTTATCGAATGTCCGATAAAATACACTCAACAAATATTTTTTTTTTACTCGACAAATCTATTATTTCCGGTAGCCACGTCGATCGACCACTAGCCGACCAGCTCACCCCTCCCCGGTGCGAAAAGGCCACACAACACATCGCAAAAAGCTATGGCGGACTGCCTAAAGCCACACACGGATGTCGCCCGACGCAGTGGGCAGGTCGACACAGCCAAGAGTTTAAAAGCCACCACCCGGCCGTCCCACGATTTCCTTTGACCGGCAAAACAAAGAGAAGAAGCAAGCAAGAGCACCCACACGAGGAGAAGCCGCCGCGCCGTCCCCAAGAAGAATCCACCAGCCAGCAACAGCAAGCTACCGTTACTCTACCTCCTGCTGGCTCCTGCGAGAGGGGCGGCGCCGATCGATCCATCCATCCATCCGCCGACGATCGGGATGTGGGAAGGCGGCGGCATCCACAGCAGCCACCACGAGGCGCTCCTGCTGCAGGCCGCAGGATCAGGAGCGGCCGACTACGGGCACGGCGGCGGCCCGGCTTCGCTCCTGCCGTGGCTCGGCCCGGCCGCCGCGCCGGGGTTCTCCTACATTGGCTCCACACCACGCGCATCAGCCGGGGCCCTTGGGCGCCGAGGCGGCCGCGAGCCCTTTTGGCTTCGGCGGCGGCGGCGGGTACAGAGATGGCGGGGTGGGACAATTCGGGGTGTTCGGCCCAGAGACCCCGCTGCCTCTTCCGCCGCACGGTCTGCTGGCTGCCGGAGGCAGCAGTGGTGGGACGGCGCTGCTGCCGCACGGGCCGAGGATGGTGTCCGGCCTTCTCGGGACCCTGCAGGCGGAGCTGGGACGGATGACGGCCAAGGAGATCATGGACGCCAAGGCGCTGGCGGCCTCGCGCAGCCACAGCGAGGCCGAGCGCCGCCGCCGCCAGCGTATCAACAGCCACCTCGCCAGGCTCCGCAGCCTGCTCCCCAACACCACCAAGGTGATGATCATGAGGTTACCCGTTCCATCACTACCTACCTACCTGCATCTGCATGTACATACCCGGGCCACATGCTAACTGCGTGCAGATCCATGATCCATGGCCAAACCCTAGAAAGAACCTGCCAGCAGCTTGGTGGCCCTGCAGAGATGCGCAATCGCGAGATCAATCCAGCTTGGGTTGATCACCCACTGTTTAATTCAGATCCAGCAGACGAGAAGAAAATTGCCCTTGATTACAGAAGTAGTTAAACACACAGCTAACAGCTCAGGGTGACACAGGATGCAGCCGAGCTACCTACCTAGACTAGATAGCTTAGCCAGTTTCAGTCCACACCCGCTAGTGACACTGGCCGGCGACCCGGCGTGCCGGCTCTACAAACCCTCAGCAACCATAGCATAATTACATGCTAAATCAAGAGGCACTTCCTACAAGTCCCCATTTCTTAATCTTTAATTTCCTTGATCCCTGCTGACTAATGCCATTTATATTTACAATTTCAATGATCATCGATGATCATATATACTTTGAGACAGGAATTTCGTTTCACGGGATCTTCGCCAGAGATAGATAGATATTTGGATTCTTATACAAATAAAGTCCAGCAAATTTTCTACCCCTAGTATGTTCCAACCAAAGGTATGTAGGGCGTCTCAAGTTAGGACAAACTACAAAGGGGACAAACAAAGACAAGATGAGATGGTCATAGGTTAGACCAACAAGTGAAAAAATGGTCATAGGTAGCAGCAGCTGACATGCCACGGCAGGCAGCAAAGATGACGCAGAAGGCTTTGGTCTCGTGGGAGACCGCGCGCGCGCCCTGCTTCCCCTGCTGCGCTCCTGCGGGGAGATCGAGCGGCCCGTGCAAGACAAGCGCGCACGCTCGTGTCAGAGCTCACCAGGCGCCTCACCCCAAAAGCGGCAGGCAGGGAGGCCGGCTGGACGACGCGCATGCAAAGGCTGCACCCACGCGCGCCATTTTTGTAGCTTTTCCTCCATGCTCGCATGCACTCGCACCACTCAATCGCCACTGCTGCTGCTGCTGGCTGCTGCACGCCCCGCCCCCGTGGCCGTCGTCCCTCTCTCCTCTCCTACCGCCACTACACCAGCAGCCACCGCGCCTACTTGCACACACTCACACACACCCCGTCGCCACTCGCCACCAGCTTGCTAGCTGAGCTAGAGCCACTACTGTAGCTGTACTCCCCTTCCCATTTTCGCAATCATATTTGCATGCATGCGGCACTAGTTCCATTTTTTGTTGATTTTCAAGCGCCTAATGATGGCACTGATCTGTCCTGTTGCTGTTTCCTGATGGTGTGGGTCTTTTGGCTCTCGTCTCGCTCGCTCGCTTGCAGACGGACAAGGCGTCGCTGCTGGCAGAGGTGATCGAGCACGTCAAGGAGCTGAAGCGGCAGACGTCGGCGGTGCTCGAGGGGGAGGAGGCCGGCGCCGCGGCGGCGCGGCAGCACCTGCTCCTGCCGACGGAGGCGGACGACCTGGCGGTGGACGCTGCGGAGGACGGCGACGGCAGGCTCGTCGTGCGGGCGTCGCTGTGCTGCGAGGACCGCCTCGGCCTCATCCCCGACATCGCCCGAGCGCTCGCCGCGCTCCGCCTGCGCGCGCACCGCGCCGAGATCGCCACGCTCGGCGGCCGCGTCCGCAACGTGCTCCTCATCACCACCGACGACGACGACGAGGAGGAAGGAGGAGGAGAGGGCCAAGGGGACTGCCACGACGACGGCGGCGCCTCGTCGTCCAACCGGAGGCACGAGCTCGTCGCGTCGATCCAGGAGGCGCTGCGCGGCGTCATGGACCGCAAGACGGCGAGCAGCGGCGACACGTCCTCGTCTAGCGGCGGCGGGAGCATCAAGAGGCAGCGCATGAACGGTGCGCATGAGCAAGGTTCGCTTTAGCGTGCTAGCTAAAACTAGCTAGTAGCTAGTACTCCGTAGCTAGCTAGCTCCATGCCTCCCTCGATGCTAGCATGAAATATGCAAGCATGCTTGCATGGCTAGCTAGCTAGCTTCTGAAACTCTCAAGTTAATTAGTATAGTTATTATAAACCTATAGTCACTTCAAGCTTGGAACGAGCTGGATATGGTTCTTCTTTTTTTTGTTGCTATGGTAATTGTGTGTGTGCATGAGGGAAAGAAAATGGAAACATGGACGTGCAAGTTAGCAGAGGGAGAGTTTTATGTGTATCCCTTATATATCTTTGTGGTGCTTTAATTTTTTACTTAGTTCGCGTATTTATTGGGGAGAGGGGGAAATTTGAGAGGTTCTTGATATAAACCGCTCGTAAAATGGGGTGATGATAAGGGTGTACACATGTATAATCTCTGGGTTAATATAATGGAAATGGAATGGTGGGGTTGCTCATTAGTCATTTCTTCAGTGTGCCATGCATGGAGCTTCACTCTTTTTCCACCTTTCATCATCTTGTCGTTTGCATCTCATTGCCAATACATTTGTGCATGCTAATGTTATCCATTGTGTTGATCTTTTTGCCGGCCTCACATCACATGTTCTGATCTCATGATTATAGTTTTCTCTAGAGCGCATTCTGTACAAATATTCTTAAGTATCAATTTGCTAATGGTATTATTGTTGGTGATATATAGCATCCTTTTTTTCTCTCCTATATATGTATTTATCCTGTATGGACGAATTAGTGACGTACGACTGCTTTATTCTGCACATATATATAATCCAACACCACAGAGCTAGTGGTAGATATTAATAAGATATATATGTGCATGCTTACAGAAACAAGCTGTACTCCGGTTGGAAAACCCCCTTTAGTCTCGGTTTTCCAACCGGGAGCACGAATCCGGGACTAAAGGGCCCCTCCTTTAGTCCTGGTTTCTCGCTCGGGACTGAAGGCCCACCTTTAGTTCCGGTTGGTAATACCAACCGGGGCTAAAGAGGCCTCCAGGCCTGGCCACGTGGGCCGGCCCTTTAGTCCCGGTTGGTATTACCAACCAGGACTAAATTTTTTTTTCTTTTTTTCGGTTGGTATTTTCAATTGATGATTCGTTTTGATTTTTTGGCTACGTGACCTCCATCTTGTATGCATCTGTCTTGATGAACTCACTCAAGATCTTAGCCTCCATGTATTGTGGGTGACCAAAATCCATCATCTCATCAAGCAACTCATACTGTAAGCACAAAATGGGCGCCCCATTCTGTCAAGTCCCAGTGTCAACTCTTGAAGATTGGGTAGCTTCATGATTGCAGGAAAACTATCCTTTGTGATCTGCAACACAAGATACCACTACTACACAACGTGGCTTTTGTCCCGGTTGGGAAAGGGCTTTTGTCCCGGTTTCCCAACCGGGACTATGAATCCGAGACTAAAGGTGGGGATCTTTAGTCCCGGTTTGCTACAACCGGGACTAAAGATTCTCCTAGCTTAAAAAAAATAATGTCTCCCACCGCTGCGCCCCGTGAGATTCGAACCCAAGACCTCATGCACTGCCTCGCGCGGAGCTTACCACCCCACCTACACAACACATCTAACAATGGATGGGATGCTTTCCTTTTGAACTAACCCATCGGGGGACCTTTAGTCCCGGTTGGTGTTACCAACCGGGACTAAAGGATGTACCTTTAGTCCAGGTTGGTATTACCAACCGGGACTAAAGGTTGGAGGACTTTTTAGTCCCGGTTGGTGGCTCCAACCGGGAGTAAAGGAACATTTAGTCCCGGTTGGTATTACCAACCGGGACTAAAAGTCTTTTAGTCCTGGGGACAAAAAAATGCCGAGACTAATGCTAAATTGGGACATCGTTCTAAAGTCTGTTCTCTAGTAGTGTACGTTTCCATTTTATTATTACTCCAGCACAATATGCCCTAAGCACTAACTGATTAATAAATTAGATTGAGCAAATATGTACTAGTAACTAGCAAAGGGAGTAACTGAAGCCCATTTTGTTTAGGGAAACTGAAGCCCATTTTGCTCCGGTGAATTAAAGAGGAACCTGGATGTCTTATCAAATCAACAAACGTACTAGAAGGAAACAAAAGATAGAATCATCCAAGAAACAAGCAGAGCACCAAAAAAACCTGAGCGCTCACCATGGTGTAGGAGAGATCCAGGCTGGTCAGCTTCCTGCACTTGAGCGCGAGGAGCTGGATCCCCAGATCCGAGACCCCAACGCACCACTTGAGCAAGAGCTCTCTCAGCTCGGTGCACACGACGGCGACGCATCCGAGCCCCATGTCAGTGAGCGGCTTCCACCTTGCCAGCGAGAGCCTCCTGAGCCCCCTCGCCCGCCCCACCTCGGCCGCGGCGGCGTCCCCGAGGTCGACCCCATTGGAGAGGTCGAAGCGAAGGACTTGAGCGCCCGCGGGTCGGCCTGGGATCCGGAACTGCGCTGCTTGGTTGGATCGGAAGCGGGGAGGAAGAAGGGGTACATAGGAGGGACTTTTAGTTCCGGTTGGAGACGACAACCGGGATTAAAGGTCCCTTTTAATCCCGGACGGAGCCTTTAGCCGGGAGTAGACTTTTACTCCCAGTTGAAGGGACCAATCGGGAGTAAAAGTTAACATTTAGTCCCGGTTGGTAGCTTCAACCGAGACTAAAGGTCCCCTGCAGCAAAAGCCTGCCACAGCAGCTGTTGGGCAGGGACCTTTAGTCCCGGTTGGAGCTACCAACCGGGACTAAAGGTTTCTCTAGTCCCGAGCACGAAAAATATTGGGACTAAAGCTAAATTTCGAAGTGGATCAAAAGTTGTTTCTCTACTAGTAAGTATATATGTACAAATATTATTACCATACTGGTGAACTGTCTTTCAGTAGTCACTCATCATCACTGAATTCGAGCCCTATCAAGTTGTCATACAAAGTGGTTTTTGGAGTGGGGATTAATTACCTTGCTTCGTCCAGCAAAATTGATGATTTCCAAAGAGGGCCTAGGTATAAAAGACAGAGGCCATTGTTTAAAATGGCACAAACGACATAGGCAATATTTTTTGACAATTATACCTTGCCTTAAAGCTATTTTCTCCTTTTTTCACTCCTATCCCATGGCTATGCAATATAATTTCTGTGAATTTCTCAACAAAAAAAAATTCTGTGAAGGCCAGATCAAGGTAGTCTTTTATTTTCCTCTGGGTGGGCTCCACTTTTCTGATATCTCTCATAAAACATTCAGTTGCTTGGTCCTTTTGTAAATTTATTTACATGCCATACACATCATATATAATACAAATATCTCGTATTTTTTATACACCAAAACTATTCTAGTTCTCTCTAATAATCTAAAGTACAATGTAGCCTTACTACGTGTTCAGTTGAAAGGGGGCAAAAACTGAATGGTTTCAAGTATGGTAGTCATCATGCGATTACAAAAGGTATGCTACCAAGGTAGTCAGAGTTGTTGATGCTGGCAGGGCTTCGGCTCCGACTTCCTACGGCTCCTTGCAAGGAATCCTACCAAACGACGGTTATCTAAAAAACGTCTCCTTTGCAAAGAGTTTGGAGGAGCTAGAGTTGTTTTTTATAGAGGAGTTGGAGCTGAAAATATGGCTTTTTAATTTCTGGCTCCTCACAAACATAATACAAATTATTATGAAATTGCCACTGGCGCCATTTTTGCTAAACATTTTCCAAAACAGCTCTAGATCTACCAGAGAAGCTGCTCCACGGAGCCAGAGAGCCCTTTTAGACGGAGCCGAAGCTCTACCAAACGAGCCCAAGTTGAGTGGATTATATTGATGGATGGCGTTGTAAATTCAAATTAAAATTCACTTAGGTTTATATATATAATTGGTAGTTTTATTTTTTTGTAGGAAAAATGTGTTATGCAAAAAAAAAAAAAGTTGTCTAAAATATTGCAATACAAATTAAATACTCCATCCTTCTGAGGATAGCTAGCTAACCTTAGATGTTTCAGACAAATTAACGTACAGAAGTGATCAATTAAAGATCTAATTTTCCCTTGAGTAACCCATGTCCCCGCTACATGCACGCGTGAGCTACGTTTGCATTGCAGCAATGGCTTGTCAGTTTAATTTGCATGTCATCAATTAAAAAAAAGGAAGTATGTATGGCGCACCAGCATGACAAAGGATATTTTTAAATTTGCATGTCATCAAATTAGTTTGTGAGCACAAAGACTCAAAGAGAGATAAGTGGTATTTGTATTTGACAAGTATTGATTATAGCACCTTGGAGCTCAGAAATAGTACTTAGAGCCTTAAAAAAAAGAAATAGTACTTAGAGTAGAAAAATGATTAATTCTTTTTATACGATTGATGACTAATATGTATGCTATTATAAAAACATAAAATGCGTTGAGGATGTTGTACTTTTTACTAACGTTGCTGGCCCTAAAAAACTAATAATTTACTTGACAGTTGCAACATTTTCTTGTTTCTTTGACAAATTAAGTATGGTCCAGTTTCCTTGGTGCTTGACGGTTTGTGGCCAAGGATTATTTCCTTAGCGGTTTAGATCATTTTCTTGGTGGTTTTGGGCACTCAAGGTAATTCGGGATTGTGGTAGCGACTTATCAAGGGTGGCTCCAGCAAATATCCACATGATCAAGAATTGTAATATATTTTGAATTAGGATACTCTGTATATATATGCACGTAAAAATGAGTTTAGTGTCGAGTATGCAGAGTTCCTTGGGATTCCGAACAGGACTCCGGCCCTACTCCATTTGGCTATTCTTGATGAACGGACATAAATGACCACGCTAGATTTCCTGGATGCCCTCAATGTGGTGAAGCTTCTCACCCTACTTCAACATCAATTTGTGTTCTCGTTTCTTTTTGGACTTTCTTCCGATCAGGCTCTCTCTCTCGATCGCGAGAGAGATCAGAGCTAGCAGGGTAGTAGTGCATTTCTATATATATACAACGAGAAACATGCATGGGACAAAAAAGCAAAAAAGCTGGTGCATGTGTGATCTGTGTTGTGCTACGCTGGAGTAGGGCAAGGCCCCAACAGAGCATGCAGCGCGGGGGCCGGCCCGGCCCGGCGCATGAAGCGAGGTGGAGCATGCCTCCACTTGTATATCTGCACGCAGCACGCAAAAGACCCCATCCCCATATGATTACCGTCCTCTTCATGATTATCACAGTGGAGCTTTGTCTGAACTCACCTGTGTGGGAAGTGGGAACTTGGTTAATTGAGACATGTGAAGGATTGACAAGCAATCATTATTGACGTGAAGCATTAAGGATCGAGCCTTTTAGAATGAGAAGAAGAGTTGGCCAATTAAATTAATGAATCATGAAGCAAAGAGTTATAAGTAGTAGTAATAATGTTATCCTTTTGCTTAAAAAGTTGAGAAAGTCTCGCTAAAAGGTTCAAAAGTGTCAGAAAGTATGCATGCTGTTCATACCATCCTATGTACATGTATACAGTACTACATCCGTTCCAAAATAAACCCACTCCTAGAATCACTCTAAGTCAAACTATTTTGAGTTTGGCTAATTTGATAGTGAAGAATAACAATATTCATATATGACACCAAATAAGTAGAATATGAAAATACATTTCTTGGTGTATTTAGTGGTACCCATGTCATAAATATTTGTGCTCTTTTCTATAAATTAGGTCAAACTTAAAATAACTTGACTTAGGGAAACTCGAGAAGTTGATTTATTTTGAGACAAAGGGAGTATATTATTTATACAAAGTCTTTATTGGTTGACATAGCTCCAACCTCTGGAATCCATGCATGATATGGAGTTGATTTAATTTGTATGATAAAATAAAATATCTGACAAATTTATTTATCTAAACTCAATATAGCACAATTGCTCAGACAAATACATTTAATATACCCACAATATCTAAGGATTTCTAGAGGTAGAGTCTTAGGGATGAGAACTCCAATAATTCTTAGAGCTAGAGCCATGCCAAACAAACCCCAATATTTCATTCCATATGTCTAGTCTACTCAAAACTATACTATTTATTTATATCACGCAAACACAAATACCTTCTCCCACTATAAATTGCTAGTCATTATATTGTTTCCAAGTTAAAGCTCACTACCCTTGCCTCTAGCGATGGCAATGGGGGAATTCCCATTAGGGACGACTCCCTATCCCTGTCCCCTTCACCGCCACTACCACTAGTCCACTACCATCAGGGAGTATTTCCCCCAACCCCTGCTCTCGCGTAAGAAATCTATCATAGCGGGGATCCTCATCCTAGCTTCAACGACAAAGAGTAAATATGACAAACTCAAATAAAAGGACTAGGGAGAGGAGATTGAGTGGTTTGCGCCTTTTTTTTCAATTTCTCAACCACGAAAGGAGCATCCTCCTTCCCTTAGCTAGAGATGGAGGCGCCCTCCTCTTTCTCATCCATGGTGGTTGAATCATCCTCCTCTTCTTCATCCATGGTGGTCGAACCATCCTCCTCCGAAGTAGTGGAGGCGGAGACACTATTGTCCCTTTAATTTCCTCTGTGGCACCATCATCTCCTTCTCTCCTACAGTTGTGATGATGCAGCCATCCTCTTTCACCTTAAGCATGACACAGACAGATTCTTCCTCTTACTGCTCCTCGATGGCGGCGATGGCTTGGCCGCTCGGAACAGAGTAGGCATGGCCATACAAGTGTAGGAGAGAGGGGGCGATTGTGGTTGTGTTGGGACATTGGGTCCTTGACCCTCGAGGATTAGGGCTAGGAGTGTGTTTTGGGTTGGTGGGCTATAATGGGCCAATGGCAAGTGGGCTACAAAGTGGGGACACAGGGAGGGGACAGAGAACGATCCTCGCCCCGCCAGACTCAATAGGGATGAATTTTCCTTCTTTCTTTCTATGTTGAGACAAAAATCTTACCATCCACTACCTCCTATTAAGGGAATTCCTTGCGGGAAATCATGGATTAGGTCCCAATTGCCATTCCTACTTGCCTCTAATTCCATGTCTCTTTCAGTCGTGCCTCATGTTGTTATTACGAACCTTAGAGAAGAAGAGGTAACATATAGAGAATTTTAATTAGATTATGTTTATCAAAATGATATTATCAATACTTTTATGTGTGTAACACACTAATATAGAAAAATAAAGAAAGTTACAGGCTTGATATCATGTTGTCAAACAAAAGAAATTTCACCAATAGTGCATATTAGAAAATATGCCATACAACTTTAACTAAAATTGAAACAAAACAAATCATATATACGATGCATATTGTTTTCGAATTTAAGGACATGTTCCCATCCTCATTTAATTATAAATTACTCATCTACCTGTGTTTAAAATTTATCCATAAATGTTAGCATTCCCGATTTTTTTTTTGGATGGGAACAACAAGAAACAACTAATTTAAGAGAACGTCTCTAGCCAAAATAGCAAAAGTCCCTTAAATTTTGACTTGTCCTTGATACAGACCGAGGTAAGCTAGTCTCTATTTTGTGACTTCCAACGGGAAAGGGAGCAACGACCATTATCAAATAATATGACACTATTGCAGTGCTTCCAAATGGTGCAACAAGAAGTAATAACTAGTTCCTTAAAAATGCACAAACTTGAGTTTCTTACTTCAATAATCATATCCAATTGTTGGAGTGATAGATTCTAGACAATGAGTAGAGAGGTCCAACGGAAAGGGCACACAAAAGATGCATATGTGTTTTCTCAACTCATGAATTGCATAGAACATAATTGTTGCTCTCGAGATGCTTGTTCTTTCTCTTGAGAAAGTTTGTAGTATCCAGTTTGTCCCTTAATTAGAAGAAGCCAAAAAAATTATGTTTGCCAAGGAGATCTGAGCTCGAAATCCATTTGAAGAGTGGTGAAACTAGCATGGCTGGGAACCAAAGGAGTGGGGTCCTAAATGTATTCCCACCTATCATATAAAGAATAGAAGAAGGATCTATACTCTAGCTTGGCAGAGGCAAGAGGAAGTTCCTGTTCGATCGAAGGATTGTCTAGAAAAAACCTCACTGAGTAGTTTGGGTTTTTTATTCCACCTTGGTCAAAACAAATTTTATTAAGTTATGTCCCTACCTTAGTCTTCTGCTGGACAATCCATAGATGGCCTAGGTCCTTTAATGTTTAGTATATTTGAGAGTGGCCAATGCAATCAAATTAATTGAGTGCAAGAAGCTCAAATGAAACATTGTCTCACATAGAAAATGGCTTAAAAAGAAGGCTAATTATTAATCTGAAACAAAAAAAAACCATGGAAATTTCCATAAAAATATGACCCCAACGAGTTGCTTCCCATAAAATTTTGACAAATAACCTTAGGAGTTTGAAAATGATTTGAATTTAACAAAATTCTTGGAAACTCCACCAACCCCGAAGGGCACAGTGGTAATTCAACCAAGGGCCTCATCAAGTTTCACCGTCGGAACGGAGCAAAAAAAATCTGTAGAGACCAGTGGCCCAGAGGCCCGGACCCCCGACTGGCGCTCGCCTAACAGGTGGCGCTCCCGTGCCTACCAAATTACTGGGCCACAAATAATCCGGTGCCTCCAAACCGCACGTCGACCGGCCCACGGAGCATCATCACCACCGCGGCAGCTGAGCTCGGCCCCAGGATTCAGGATCTCAGGCGCGGCGACGGCGGTCGGCGACATGGAGGCCGCGGTGCCCAGCCGTGTTGCACGCTCTCCGCGGCGAGCCGCCTCCCGAATCGCCACGCCGTGGCAGGTGCTCCGTCTCCCTCGCTCCCGATTCGGGCTCCCGTTTGTCAGTTTGTTGGAATTTGGATGCGATTTTGGGAGTAAGTAGTTACTAGTACTCCTTAGTACCTTTCAGTGGATAAGGTCGATAGGGTAAGTAGGGTTCGTGCTGTACACGCGGTTCCTTTGGAGCTAGAACAGTGGGAGATTCCACGGAGTATGAGAGCCGAGTGTTGTTCCGCTTTGGCAAGGATTTTGCCGTTACTGCCAATATTGTGAAGAGAGAATCCTTCTGTTTCCTTCCATGGAATGGCCGCCTTGTGTTGGCTAGAGGACGTGGACTCGATGTGTGGTGAAATTGTTGCGTCTGTTCTAGTGAGTGGCAAGAACAAGTGTGCAAGGTGAAGGTTAAGTGGTTGACATCATTGGCATTTTCAATCAGCTACCTGTTAGCTCCTTGTTTGATTGCTTCAGTATGCTTTATTCATGGACTGTGTTTTTCACTACAGCTCTTTCCATTTTTCTAGTTCAGATTACATACATATTAACAAATAACAACAGGTTCCAACTGCTAAGTCACCTATCCAAACAGATGGCGGTGGTAGTAGACTAGAAGTTGTTATATTGCACAGTTGGTCCATTTACAGGAAAATTAATACAGTCTGCAATGGAAGCTGAAATTTAAGACACACTTTATACTACTATTGAAGTAAACAATCAGTTGCAGCTGCCTGCCATTCTCCACAGGTGCATTATTCCTTGCTGGCTGTTAATAGTTGCTGATTATTCTTGATGGTGTTCTTGAAAACCCCAAATGACTAAGATGATGGTTGAATCCACTATATCATACCCTCACTTGAAATGTGTAGGAAATCTTGCTCTATCACCAACTAATCCCCAACCTTATAGTCCTGTTTATTGTTGTATGATCATAAGGCTATTACTCCATTTTCGTTCATTTTGTTTTCAGCCTGGAGGCACAAATGTGTGATCAGGAACTGTGCTAGCTATATGATGACTTCCAATTTACATGGAAATATTGTTTATCATGTCATAGGTCCATGATTACTCTTGCAGACTTGCTGGTATAATCTTTCGTGTTGATTTTCTTCATATTGTGCAGGAGATAGATCTTTCATTTACAAGGGAAGATGCCAAAGTCTTGCAATTCCTATGGCTTTGTCAGCAGCTGCGCCAGGCAAAGGTGGTGGTGTGCTTGATCGGCCAGTAGAGAAATCTACTCCTGGTCGTCAGTCTGAATTTGATGTGAAGTAAGTGTTATCCACTATCACCTCTGTTTCAATTCCTAGTAAATGTAACTTCCAGAACGGTGGGGATATGAGTTCTGCGTTGTCTGAGTTACAAGTTTGAAACAGCTGATCAATCACAAATACATCATTAAGTGGTTTCAAACAGATAAAGAAGTTGTCAACTACTCTGTATTCGTTTCACTGTTGTTACTGGCAGAACACTTAACAATTTATTCGTGCACAAAAAGAATAACTGAAATATTCCATAGACACTGAAGGGTCAGGAGTACTTCCAACTGAACTTGATGGCTGCACATATATTTTTCGTATTGCCATGTGCAAGTTCCTTTGCTTTTCCAGAAACTTGTTTTTGATGTTACCATCTTGAACTGGGCCTCATCATGGAATCAAATGCAATGCTATCTTTTAGTCTGCTTTGGTATGGAGGGAGAAATTTCTGGGACAGCTAGTACCCATTGCCACAATTGGTACTTGGTAGGTATATGGTTGCTCCTAGTTTGGGGTGTTCTTACGCTTAGCTGTGTAGTTCTAATGTTGTGTGTGAGCAGGTGGCCTTCTTATTTAATTTTATTATGTAAAAGAGGTTCATGCTTCACCTCCAGAGTTACATTAAAAAAGGGCGTACCCAGTGCAGAGAGCTCCCGCTCTGTGCGGGGTCTGGGACCTCCAGAGTTACATTACATATACTTATTGCATTCCTTCATGTACAAGCATTAGTGAATAAATTGGCTAGTATTGGAGTATACCTAGTTCATTAAAATGCTAGGATTAATGAATGGTGCAGCTTGCAGCCTGTTCCCAATGATTGAACTTGTAGGTTTGCTGCTGTTGTAGATTTCTTTTTCTCCTATAAACTCTGTAGTTCATGGTGGTTTGCCAGGAATATCAGCTCATAGAACTATATAAGTATTTCTTTTGGTAGGGCTTTAATTACTTTGAGACTACAATAACATGTCTTGAACATGGCAAATTGCGTCATATAATTGTTGGAGTTGGTCAGCGCCGGTCCTGAGTTTTCACGGACCTGGAGCAAAACTGGCAAGCAGGGCCTCTCAACATAAACATAGTAGTAGTAATAATACTTATTAGATTTGTATGCTTGTTAGAGTTTGGCTTAAGACGAACTAAAAACAACTTACAACGGAGCAAAAACCTGCAACTTAATGACGAGAAAACACTATGAATCACATAAACATCCTCATACGATTAGGCTTGCTTTGGCCTTTGGCTGTACCAATCCTTGATCTTGCAACAAACATTAGAAATGACTCGTGGATCCCAAATCTCAGTTCTAAAGATTGAAAGATTAGAAGATAGATTATAGTGCAGTAGGGCAAGTCAGCAACCAGCATGTATCTACCAGTACAAGCAATATTGAGTATTGATGGCCGGTGGGTGATCTGCAGTCTGTACAAGCTATGACCCTCTGCTCAACTATATAAAATATATACGTATACAGAACACATACCTGCTGGCCGCTAATGGGCCCCTTGGCGTCAGGGGCCTGGAGCGTGTGCCCCGCTCGCCCTGCCCCAGGGCCGGGCCCGGAGTTGGACCCTTTAGTCCTCTGTCAAGTGCCTATACCTGTTGGACGTAGCTCGTTCGATCATTATGTTTGTGAGCTTATTTCAATGACACTTGACAACATTGCAGTTACTATTATTGTGTATGCTCAATTGGCACATTGATGCTTAGTAAGAAAAGTGATCCGACACGCCAGGCTACCTTATTGAGAGGTTATCTCATTTTCAGTTTTCAGGCTGTCTAAATAGATGCCATTGAGCTGTTACCATCCTAAAATGGTTGTGATAGTATTTGGCCTGATTATACACATGGAAACCATGTTATGACCAAGCCCTTCTGCTCTGCAGGAAATCCCGCAAAATGTCGCCTCCATACCGCGTCATTCTGCACAATGACAACTACAACAGGCGCGAGTACGTTGTCCAGGTCCTGATGAAAGTGATCCCTGGGATGACCGTTGACAACGCTGTGAACATCATGCAGGAGGCGCATGTGAATGGGCTGTCAGTGGTGATTGTCTGTTCCCAGTCCGAGGCTGAGGAGCACTGCACGTCGCTCAGGGGCAACGGCCTCCGAAGCTCGATCGAGCCTGCGAGTGGTGACTGCTGAGGTTCGAGAAATGGGTGTACCTTGTTTTGCCACGTATAGTTTGTAAATACCCAGCATATCAAGCTAAGCTGAAACGGGTTGGTTACATGCAGTTATCGATACAACGAAGCTGAGTACCTCTTGGGTAGGTCTAAATCGTGCAAGGGTACCACCCTGTAGAAGAAGAAACATAGTATTTTCGGTTATGGTTATGATTTACTCCCTCCATTCCAAAAAGTCACTATCGGAGTCGTGTTAGTCAATTATTGGAGTTGGGTTAGTCAAACATTCTTAAGTTTTACTAGATTTGTAGAAAAATATTAGCAACATTTGTATCTTCAAATAAGTTTATTATGAAAATATATTTAGCGATTTATCTAATGATACTAATTATATATCATAAATATTAATATTTTTTATATTTATTTGGTCAAAGTTAAAATCATTTGACTTCCCGGCAAGTGAGAAACACTCTTTGCGGGACGGAGGGAGTATGAAACGCTTAGTTGCCCATGGCCTACACTCTTTTCTTTTTTGGGCATTGCTCCATGTTTGAGTTATTTGTGTTAGGGCACGCACAATGCAAAGACTCCTGTAAAGGCGCTTAGATGGAAAGAGAAAATAATATGTAAGCAAGCGTTTCTCTATGAGATTAATCTACAACACAAAAATTTGTTGAAGGCGCTTACGTTGCGGCCGTTCAGCGCATAGCATGCGGCTGCAGGGATCACGCAAGAGCCGGTCAAGCGTTGCTGCTTCACGGAGCGGCGAAGCCATCCGTAAGTGCCCCAGGCCGTCCGCTCTGACGTCCACACTGGCAGAAAAACTATTTAACGGCCCATAACAGTCCATTAGCGCCCAGCGTTGTACAGGCTCTTAGGTTGCTTATACTGTCAAAAAGCAAAAGGCCAACTAAACGGGTAGAATCTAAAACGGCTTTTCCAGAAGTAGTCACTTTTGCTTTCACGTGGTATAATTTTCTTAGTACCTTTCGACCTTCAGTTTTCGGCATCTCCAAAAACTAGAAATAAGAGACATTTTACAGCTGTTTCAATGGAAATAAAAAGAGGTAGGTTTTATAGTTATTTCAACTAAATAGCTTAAAAAATTATAGTTTTTTGATAGCTCACAACAATTTTCTCACAGCTCACAGCTAAAACAAACCAGTTCGCAAGCTTCTATGCTACATTAGTGAGGTCTGATGCACCGACACATACACACCTGCTGTTGCTACATCGGTTTTTGATAGTACCATGTTAGGGTTTGTCTAGTGGTGGGTCGACATATACAACACATACAGGCCTAAGGTGACAACAGACGAGCACTACAAAGGGTGAAAGACAGCAGGAGCACTACAAAGGAAGGAAGGCAGCATCAGTTCAAGGCATCGATGAAGAGAATAGCAAAACAACCTTCTCCTACCTCTATCCGTGTTCTTCCTCCTTTGAACCTCTCCTCGCTATTGCTACGTGCATTTATCTAGATACTACTGATTACCACATGTATCTCTAGTCCTCCATCCTTGCTTGCTTCCCCATTCCGAATTCTAATTCCTTCCATATTGTATCGGATTGTTCGGTTGCTAGTAGAGTTCAGAGGAGGGTTTGCTAACAATTGTACCCTCAGCTGTTTTTGTATTGTGCTAGGACAGTGTAATAAAGTTTGATGGGTGAGCTCCTGTGGTATGAGAAACAACCACCAAAGGCTTCTTTCTTCAAACCTTTTCAAATGGCTAACACCAATAGGTCTCCCACAGGATGACCAACACCTTTAGCACCAAGTTAGCAATTTCAAAACAATTTTCAAAGGTTTTCTTTTGCTTCTCACCATGCCACTCGATCCTAATACGTAGGCAATATTAGATCACACTTAGTGGCACTAGATAATCATATTAGCAATGAATTTGCTCCTTTTTGTAGTACACCTATCTATCCTATCAAACCAGCCATTAAACTCCTCTAATCACCTCATGGCCGGTGTAAACAAAGCCCTATATACATACCTTTGCCTTCACTTTGTTTTCCATCCTTCGTTCTTCATGCTTCATCTCCTCAAAGAGCTTTTCTGCCTCAGCTACCATCCATCATCTTCACTTTTCATCCGTTGAGCTTTTGCACATTCATGACCATGCCATCTCCACTTGATGGCTCATGTTGCTCAACTCTTCCTTGTGGACTAAACATCACCTTTCATCTCACCTATTAAATCATTATTTCATAATTGTTGTTATTCAATTACCAAAATAAAATAAAATGGTCTTTCAAGGGGTTGTGCCAGGAGGGGTGTTGTTGGGTCGAGATGGCGGACTATAGAGGGGGTGAATAGTCATTTCTAAAATTAATCGCGCCGGCTTACCGAAACGAATGTTGAATTAAAACTATCGGTCTAGCCAAGACTATACCCCTCTATCTAAGTTCACAATCACCTTATAAAGATCATAATTAGGCAACAAAGGTGCCGAGTTAGCTAGAGCTCACCTAACCAATTCTAGAAGCAAGGTCACACAAACCTATGCCACTAGTACTTCAAGCAACGGGGGTGTTCCTACACATGCTAGTAAGCAAAAGCACAAAGCCACCTAAGCTCACTAGCAATGCTCAATAACAAGGCTACACAAGCCAAATTATAGAGCGCAGATTACTTAGCTACACAAACTAAGCAATGTGACTAACAAGATTACTAAAACAAAATTAGCCACTCAAGGGACCTACTTCTATGCTACACAAGCAAGAAGGTAACTAGCCAACTACACAAGTCAACTAATTACAAGAGCAACTACACAAGCACAATGTATATGAATGTAAATACAAGCTTGTGTAAAGAGGATGCAAACCAATGGGGAGACAAGGATGACACGATGATTTTATCACGAGGTTCACGTGCTTGCCAACACGCTAGTCCCCGTTGAGACAAGCTCCAAGGTTGCCGCCGGTCCTCTTGCTAGTGGTGACCCGCAAGTCACACTCACCCACGTGGATTGCTTACCACAAGCTCTAGCACTTGACTCAGCCGGACCACTTGTCGCCCTTGGCGTCTCGCTCTACTAGAGTTGCTCTTCGCAGCTCCCATGGGGTGAGCACAATACCCCTCACAATCTCTTCTCTGGAGCACTGCACAATCTTCTTTGCGTGCTTCAATGGAGTCAACCACCAAGCCATCTAGGAGGTGGCAACCTCCAAGAGTAACAAGCACCACCGGCTTGCAACTCAATCACCTAGTGCCACTCGATGCAACCTCACGATGCAATCGCACTATAATCGCTCACTCACTCGATCGGATGAACACTATCAAGCTCAAGTAAGTTAGAGGGCTCCCAAGCACACCTACACAAGCCATCAAGGCTCAAGGGTGCTCAACAACGGGCCAAAGGCCGGCCACCACTTCTATTTATAGCCCCACATGCTAAACTAGCCGTTACCCCTTCACTGGGCTTTCTACGCATCGACTGGATGCACAGGTCCACTTGACCGGACGCGTTGATCCCTGCATTCGGTCGCTGCCGCGCTTCCACGTGTCACTAGCCATTTGAACTAACCGTTGCTGCCAATGGCTATCTCCTGCGCACGCCAGTTGTCACTGATCGGACGCGCTGCTCGGCTTGACCTGACGCTGCCCCAAGCTGCGTCCGATCACTTCCAGTAACAGTCCACAGAAGCTTTTACGCGACCGAACGCGCACGCTCCTGCACGATCGGACACAGACCAGCGTCCGATCAGCTCTGCACCCACATGCTAACTCCAGCGCCGCCTACGTCACCGTACGTCACTTGTGACCGAACGCAGGCCCTACACGTCCAGTCACTTTTTCTATACAACGTCCAGTCACTTGACCGAGACCGTGCCCAACTGTTGCCACTGACCGAACGCGCCAGTCCTGCCGAGGCCAACGTTCGATCACTCACAGTGACACCTTCTCACCTCTGTTTCTTCACCGAGTTGATCCTCATCAACTCTAACTTCTTTTCCTTTGTAAATGTGCTAACACCACCATGTGTATGTGTGTTAGCTTTTCACAAACATTTTAAGGAGTTAGCCACTCAACTTGCCACGCCACTCGATCCTAGCAACGATACAAAGTTAGATCTCTCGAGTGGCACTAGATGACCGATATGCAAACAAGTTTGTCCCTCTTGATAGTATGGTCATCTATCCTAAACCCGATCATCAACTTCTCTACACACCTATGACCAGTGAAATGAAATGCTCTAGGTTATATCTTTGCCTTGCACATTCCATTCCACCTCCTCCAATATCGATGCAACACATGCACCAACATGATCAACAACCATATGATCCACTCCATATCATCATGTGACCATATTGGTTTATCGATCTTGACTTCACTTGCTCTTCATCGTTGCTTCGGTCCATCGGCGCCAAGTCATCACTCAACTTGCCCTTCACACTTGCAACTGGTCCGTCGAGCCAAGTCATGTCTTGATCGTCTCCACCTTGATCACATGACTCAATGTTATGTCTCATGTGCAATGAGCTCCTTCATCATCATATGTGTGAGCTTTGCAACATCTCCGAGCCATCTTCACCATCATGGCATATGTTGCTCACACACATGTACTTGTGGACTAATCACCTGTGTATCTCACTCAAACACATATTAGTCCACCTAGGTTGTCACTCAATTACCAAAACCAAACAAGGACCTTTCAATCTCCCCCTTTTTAGTAATTGATGACAACTCTACAAAGATATGGAAATTAAGCTCAAATGGATTCATGTTGCTTGCCCAAGCAATTTTACCATGTGTAAATGATTTTGGACAAGTACCACAAACCCAAATTTGTAGTATTAGCTCCCCCTACATATGTGCTAGAGTGTTTGGTTTGAAGCTCGCACATATGCATAGATTGGAATTGTGGAAGAGTAATTACTACCAAATGATGCTAAGGTGTATAGAATAAACCTTTGAAGCATGATACCAATCTGAGTTGCACCTTTAAGTTCATCCTTAGCACCATGGTTAGCTACATATCACTTGGAAACAAAAGTACTAGATACCTCGTG